TGTGCTAGGATCCATCTCCCATACTATAAACATGCTGCATGAGATGGACAGCACAGCAACAAAGAGGTCATCGAGACACTGAAGTGAGTGTTTTACAGTTGAAGGATACACATGGGCATTAAGGGGCCCTGGCAAGGGTGCACAAACAATGCTGGTGGGACAGTACGGCTAAATCTCTGCAGAGACATCAAAGCTGGTAGGAACAGAGCACCATTCAATGGTGGTGTGATCATTTAGGGACCTTTTTTCTAGGAGACTGTGGGTCAGACTAAATCTGCTTTCAATGTAAGGCTTGTCTATTAGTCTTATCTACCACGCTGAATGAGCCTCCAAAGGAGCACGACCCAGGCAGCTGCTAAACCTCAGTGATCTATTACTTGCATGGAAACTTCACTGGATAAATAACTGACTGAACCCAGGAGAAAGAAAACAATCCTGAACTCCAGAGGAGAAGAACTGATGCAAGAGATGGACTAGATGGAAGATGGTCATCAGAAAGCAACCTGACAATGGGTACTGAAAATTATAAACAATGTGGGGTTTTTGCTGGCCATTTAAAGAAAGAGAAGAAAGAAAATGTTTATACAGCAAACCTTCATGCTTCAGAGGAAGAGGGGACCTAGGCTTTTTAAAGAACACTGACCTAAGGCCAAAGTCATAGCAGAAATGTTGTTTTGGTTCTGATGGTCTAAGGATGTAAGAACCAAGGCTGATAGGAAGAGATATTTATCTTTTATTAAACCAACTGATACTACTGGGAAAAACAAACAGCAAAGAAATTGCTCAGAGAGGGCTTGTGAGCCTAAAATTCATCCTGTCCCCCCCTCCCCAACAATATCACATGTTCTATTAAAAGATATTACTTCCTCCTGCAAACCTTGTCTCTCCCAAATCCAAACAATGCTCCATAATAGTGAGGACAGAGAAACAGGGAGCACTTTTGCTATTATGTTTAGCTCTGTGTTGATGGAAATAGAAAAATATTTTTAGAACCCTTTGAAAACCCTGCATGTCTCTTCTTTCTTGCCAGGCAGGAGTCCTCTGCATGATGAACTGTGACCAGGAGAACACTCAGGTCAGACCTCTGGGGAAGGATGGAGATAAATCCCCAAGAGGTTTCGAGCCCAGCCCAGGACTTGGGGCAGGATGCCAGAAGGGTAGGACAGAGGAGATCTGGACAGAGGGATGTCTTAATGAGGTCTAATGCCTACATAAATCCTTCCTCTACTCAACATGTGTTTTCACTGCTGATGTCCCTCTCATGTCAGGCCATTATCTTGGAAGTTATTAAGGGCTGTTGACTATGATTTAATACTGTTTTCTATTCTAAAGATGAAGAAATAATGTCATTTCCTTGGGCAGCTGCCACATGATTTTGATTTGGAATTGAAATACCTATTTTGGGGGACAAAAGGAAAATGATCTGGGCTCAGGTGAGTCCAGAGCCACAGAAGGGCTCTGGGAGCAACCAAACCCCATTCTGCTGGGTGGAAGAGCAGTTGGGGGTGCTAAGCCCAGCCTCGGTGATGCCTCCAGCTCTGCACAACCCCCCTGGCCACTGTGACAGCCTTCAGCTCCCTGGGCAGCACTGGGCAGGCACTGTGAGCCTCACTTGCTGCAATCTCCATGCCACACATGGCTGAGGCACAGTGACCCTGACCTGCAGCATCCCACCACCTGCTGTCGCTGAGTCAGACCTAAAAAAATCCCCTACTCACACAGGTTCTTTTTAAAGAAAACAACAAGTAAAATGAAATCCGCCCAAATCTTTTCTCTCTGATATGGATATATTCCATCCCGCCTTCCCACAGAGACCCACACCAAAGATTGCACAGCACATTACACAACACATCACATAAAAGCTTCTTCAGCATCCCCGCCTTTACTCTTCACACAGAAGATGGGTTACTTCTCCCCATCTCCCCAGTCCCTCCACATTCCTCCACTTTCTAATCAGATGCTGTTTCACCTCTCCCCACCACCTACACCTCCACAACCATCTCTCCATCCTGTCTTGTTAAAAGAGGGTTTAAAGGCAATAGCTGATGGGATCCTTCTGTGATGCACAAGGAAAAGGACGGATCTGTCTTCAGGCAGAACATGGAAAGCCTTGTGGAGAGGGGAAACAAGCCTCTTTGCTGTTTTTGTTACGCAAATATCTGCTTTCTGTATCCAAATGTATAACAGGAAATTAAGCATTTCACCTTTATTAAAGCACTTTTGCATTCCACAAATGCAGGAGCCAGATGGTGTTCTTTCTTTGTTTTAAAAGATTAAAAATGGGAAAGAAAGGAAATGGCTAGGAGCTAATCCTCAGCCTGGAACACACTCGCATATCCACATGCCCAGTTGTCTGTGCTCATGGGACCTGGGCAGGAGCTAACGTTGTGACCCAGAGGACTGATGTGAGCCTGCTTGCAGATTGCTGCAGACCTGTCAGTGTGTCAGTTTTGAGGTAGAATCCTTCACTGTGTTCCCAGAAAATGACAAATTACAGTACAGAAACAGAGCACAAATGCACAACTGTTATGAAGCCATACTGTTTTTCTCACCTACATTTGCAGAAGGAAGTGACTGCTGCTTCTTACCACAGTTAAAGTCAAGTCTAACAACCAATTCACATGAGCCCCATGTGGCTTCATTATAGTCACAAGCAGGTTTCTGTTCAAAGGGTTGATTACTCTTGTTTGTAGGGAACTTATAAGTGCAGGTTGTCATATAGAACCAAATAGATTTCCCAATCCAGAGACAGCAAAGTTCTTGCTAGTTCTTGCAAGAATAAACGCGTGGTGCTGTGCAAAGTCAGAGGAGAGGAGAGGCACGAGACAGTGGTGGATGAGGAAGGACAGTCTGTCACATAACTGTGAGTGCAAGTGAAGGGTGAATAGTGAGATCAGCTTCTGGTAAACACATCCCACAAGGTAGTGATTAGAGAAGGAGACTGAGAAATGAACCTATCTTGGTTCTTCACATATGCTGGGAGGAGTGTGGTTGGGCTGTGGCTGGAGGAGGGATGAAGGACACATGGTCCTTGGACTTCTGCTTTTTGCTGGGGAGAATATAGATGGGTTTCCCAGCTCTGCCACTGAATCCCGGTTTGGCCTGGATGGGCAAGTCACATAAAACCTCTGCCTCTCATGCCACCAATGTAAATATGGGCAATCAGAATCTTATTGTGCTATGACTCATCTTTGGACTGTAACAGAGAAAAGGTCTCCATGCATGCAGAGCATGGACTTGCTGATCAGGAGCTTTAAAAGTACCAAAAGTCAGTGAAAACAGAGAAAATCACCTGGTAAACAGGTGATAACTAGATACTACTTTGGTCACACATTGCAATTTGTGTTAGCAGAGAGAAGTCCACCAAAAGCCTTACAACACTGCACAAGGTAGCACGGAGCAGTCCTTAACAAAACGTTTGCACAGACAGGACACCACCACCACAGAGAAGACAAAAAATCCCCACAACAACAAACTGGCTTGTGAACACCATCTCAGTTCTCACTTTCTGGGGCACTCTCAGCCTTCATTTATCAATAGCAGCAAATTCACCCATTGCACAGAGTGTGATTGGTGCTGCAGGCACACAAGCTCGACTGGGATCATCTCAAGCAGCATGATGTTGACTGTGGTTGGGGTAGGCAAGAATGTGGATAATCACATGGGCTGCTTCTCATCCTCCCTTGGGCTCTTTCTTTCCTATTCTCTCTTTCCTGAAGCTTCAGCAGTGACGGTACCACAGCCACCTCTCTTTCTTCCCTCATCACTGTCCAGTAACTGCACCAAGACCTTTCCCAACATGGACATCTGTGCTTCACAGTGAACATTGTTTCCCTCACTGATAATTAAACTTAGTGATAAGCCAACATCCTGGGCTGGGAGAGGTGATATGTCTCAGCAGAAATCTGATCACATTTTTCCTCTTCCCCACACAGTAACTCCACTTGGCAACTGCCTGTTGAAAATCCTTCTGAATCAGACCAAGACCATAGGTCAACCCTTTCTCAGGTAGCTGGTAGAAATAATCCTCAAAGCCAAAGATCCAGGTTGTAACCAGAAATATACCAGCTTTAGTCCAAGCATCATGCTAGAAACCACTGCTCCTTTAGCCTGAAAAGCCCTTCCCTGCTGGTGGATGGGCACACAGCGACAAGTGCCTACTCCAGTGTGCTTCAAACACTTTGCACATCACAGCTTATCCTGTAGCTGAGGAATAGTGAGAAACATGTTGTCCCCCCAGGGAGGCTGCCATCCAGGCAGACAGGGCAGTGCAGACAGGTACAAAGGGAGTGTGCAAGACAGGGGAACAGTGCGAGCACAAATCACAGAAGATATTCCTGACTCATTGAATCCATCCCCAGAGACAAGTGCAGGATTAGCCTCTGCACTAAACCCAGGCATTTTTATCTAGCTGCTTCCTGAACTTCTTTAATGACAGGCATTCAGCAACCTACCTCTGGCAAATTATTCCATTGTCTAAGGGATGATCCTGCTGGAAAAAAGTGTTTTGAGGTTGAACCTAAATTGTCTATTATTTCCTCTTCCATATTTTATGCACTTATCAGTCAGACTTTGAGTTGCCTTTTCTCTAGGTCCTTCTAGTAAGTTTCTTTAATATAACACTTGAGGCCATAGCCTGTAGTCTTTGTAATCTCTTTGGTTTACCTTTAATTTGTCAATCCCTTTAAAAATGAGGGAGAAAAAATAGGAAGGAAGTAAGAATGGGATGACTTTGAGCCATTCCAAAGCATGTGATTGTGTGCTGGGGTATCACAGAGAGCTCTGTGTGTAGGCATCTGCATGGATGTCTGAACTACAAGCATGCCCAGGCCTGAAAAGGAGTAAGGACAGTGGTTCAGGGATGCTTGACTGACATCTGTGCAGATGTTTTAATGAGGGAATAACAAGCAAGTGAACTTGAGCTCCAAAACCTGATTTACTAAAACATTTCCTAGTCTCCCTTTGCTCTGAGCATTAGACTGCCGCTGGAGCTGCCTTACCCTGTAGTAATCAGTGCTGTAGACATCTCTTGACATCCCAAAGTCTCCAATCTTCACCAGCAGGTTGGCTCCGACCAAGCAGTTCCTCGTGGCCAGGTCTCTATGGACAAAGTGCTGGGAGGCAAGGTACACCATTCCAGAGGCGATCTGGCTAGCGATGTGGAGCATCTGGGATAGCCCTAGCTCCCCTTTGGCTTGTCGAGGCTGCCCATCCACAAGGATCATAGCATCTGGGCCATGTGCCCTATAAGGAGGAAGAAGCAAAAAGCATAGAGTTGGGTCTCAAAAGTGACAAGGAGATGGGAATCCCACGTGGTTGCTGTTCCTGCTGGGGTGGGGGCTCACCCCCAACTCTGCACTGTGAGGATGTGCACACAGATCCAATGGAAGGGAAAAAGAATAGTTTAAGAGAACAGGAGGTTGGGGGAACACTTGTTGGGTGCTACACATCCTTATTCTATCCTTACTCTACTGCAAGCAACCTCTTATGGCCACAGATAGAGACAGCCTGCCAGGACAGAGGGACTTCGGCTTGATGCAACATGGATATTCTTCTCTGGCAAGACCTATGCAAACCTGATGAGCCTCCAGGTATATACATGTTCGTTCCACTTTGAAAATCTTTTAAGAAGTAGAGATATCACCCCCTTTTTTTTCCACACCCATCATATTCTTGCTAACTCGTCTCTTTATTAATCCCAAACAGCCTCCTCGATTTCCTCCAAACACCACAGCACCAAACAACCACCCCTTGATTGATATAAATACATCCAGAGATCATGGGAAAGGTTTCAGAGGAACACCAGCAGCTTCATCCCTGGAAAATACCTTTTATACCCTAAGCTATCCCAGAGGTAACACAGGTTCTGTGAGCTGTGGAGGCATGAGCAGAAGTGCAAAGGTTAGATCTGGCAGTCAGCAGATGCAGACAACATCCTGGGCAACAAAAGGAAATATTCTACTGAACCAAATACAGTGTAAATACAAGACTTAAGGTCAGCCTCATTCCTGTCCTGTCCCCTTTTTAGTCCCCTTCCTCGCTGTGTACCAAGCCTGTCTTTGCAGTGCTCCATCTGTGATGTCTCTTAGAGCACATGCCTCTGTGAAGGTGGAATAACAAAAGCCCTCGTATTTAGGGATTTTGCTGTGACCTTCCTCCGTGTGACTAAGATGCAGTACAGCATTTCCTCCGAGGCTTTCACACTGTTCTCTTTGAAACGATTCTTGGCATTTCACCCGTCATTAACAGTAACCCCCCAGAGAGATAACAAATTGAAACTACACACACAGAGCTTTCCCTCCTTCTTGACATGGGACTGAACAACACACAACAAGATCCAAACTGTTCCCTTCTTTGTCTCTGTTTCCTAATTACTCTGTTGGCCTTGAAGGTACACCAAAGGGATTAGCATCCAGGCGTGTGGGGTTCGACAGATAGTGTTTCAAAGCCCCCTCTCTGCAGCTACATCCTGCTGCCCTAGCCTACATGGCTCTGAAAGTCCCCTCCTGGTAGAAAGGACTACTGTAAGAGAAGAGGAACTCCAAAAACGAGTGCTGAGGAGCCAGGAGTGTTTTTTTGGGAGCCACAAGTGGGAGATGCTGCAGTGAATGTGGGATGAGCTGGCTGGGAGCAGCACTGCGGGCAGCAAGGCTGGAGCTGCTGGAGGCATCTCAGAGGCTTGTGGGCATGGTGGAAGCAGCAGCACACTGGAAGGACTGCTGAGGGCAAGGAGAAGCTGCAGAAGAGCATATGAAATGACTGCTTGATGTCTTAAACAGCCCACAGACAGGTTTAGTCCAGGACATTACCTGGTGGTGACAACAGATATCGACAACAGGTGAAGCTGAGCCAGGACTGAGCAGGTTAACTAAAAACATGCAAAGCAGAGCAAACAATAGCTTCTAAAACTGTGCTGGACAGGTTTGTACCAGTCCTGCCTTGCAGTTACACCATATTTAGCTACAGCTGATACCTGTTGTCATCAAAGGTAAACATTCCTAGGTGAGAAGTGAAGGATATATTACTCTCTCATCACTGCCATCTTTTTCAAGTACAATAATGGCCCCCAAAAAACGTGTCTGAAAGGAATAGGTAATGTTTGAAAAATGGTCAGCCAACATCTTTATTTCACTGGCTCTTTGTACATCCTACTATATAGGACACATCTCGGTATGTCCTGTATAATAAGTACACTTCTCTCCCTCCCTTTCTCCATCCCGCATGGTTCTAGTCCAGAAGAAAGAAGTATCAACACATTTGTGAGATTAACAGGAAGGATATTAGTACACTTAGTTGTGTCATGAAGCCTACAGGGAATATGAGAAGGATCTGCCTATCTTTTCCTGGGAAAGGGGTTTAATTCATCTGTACAGAGAGGTCATAAAATTGGGTGGATCCCCTGTTAAAGAACTCTTGGGGTTTTTTTCCCTTATGGAGTGATGGAGGGTTTTGTCAACATGGGGAAGAAAATCATCCCTTTAGCTTCCTCTGCTGAAATTCCTTGTTTTATCCCAAGACAATCCAACTGTGGGGCTGCTGCACTGGAAGGGCTGACAAAAAACCATCAGAATTTTGCAACTTTTCTAACGAACTCTATTGCCTGTCTGAGTCAACAAAAGAAGGCAATGGCTTAATATAGACTGCAAGTAGGGTCTGTAATGGCAACATGTAAATATCCCTACTTCAAACCTGCTGCTGTCATGGACAGAAAACAAAAGCTAGAAAACCAGTGACAGAAGGAAAGGGAGGAAGTGATGGACAGATCCAGTGAGTGGAGAGGAAAGGTGGTTGCTGCAGACCCCTGAGCAGTGGGTGTGTGTGCTGGGGAGAGCCTGTGTGCACCAGCCCTTGGAATGTCATGTTCCCTGGATACCAGTGCCTCAATTTCTCCATGGCAGGATCTTTTCACTATCCCTTTTCTGTTAGTCAGGAGGCTGCATTCTTTCCCTGTGCAGACAGCAGGATCAGTTGCATCACCAGCAATGGTCTTACATGCAGGGGCCCCTGGAGGCAACTAGAGCCACCCCAATACATGCCAGCTCTCACCCAGCTGGCAGGTGTTGATCTTAGTGCTTCCCTCTGCCACACCAGTTGATTTTACTGACCATGAAATTCTCTCTTCTCTTGTAAGTACACAAAGGTCCAACAACACTTACGGGAATTTATTGTGCTTTTCTCTAGGAAACCGGGTCTAAAGTGAGTCTCTTCCATTTTACCACTTTTCCAATTTCTGCAGTAAAAGTGGGAAGAGCCCATCTGAGTGTCTCATACTGGCTCCCAGCATCCCTGGCCTCCAATGCCTGGGAGCTACCATCTACTGCTGTGGGCTGGGTGAATCATGTCACAATAAACCCAGCAGCTTGCTGAGGGTTGCCAGGCACTCCTGCACCACCACTCTCTGACCCCCTTGTAGCCCCTGTCCCACAGTTTCCCACCAGCAGAGCACTGACTTAACAAGCAAAGGCCAAGACTCTCTTTCCATATGCCCCTTTAGGCATTCTGAGTTCCCATTTGCTGGGTATAAGTTCCATTGTCTCAAAAGCCAGCTTCCTTTTGGGACACAAAGGGATTTCACTGCCTATCACGCACTGACATGCAGGGAAGGGAGTTTAGAGCTGCTTGCTCTGTAGCTGCACGAGAAGGAGAAGCTGACAGCCAAATGCAGGTGGAAGATGAGAGGCTGCAGTGTCAAGGACCACACATCTGAAAAGTTTATTTTCCTTCATAAAGGCCAAAGACAATACAACAACCTTTCTTCTTCAGTGACATGGGACGGGCCTTGGCCTCCCAGGGTATGAGTGTTACTCAGACATGTCCCAGAGCAGGGCTGGGACATGGAGGTGAGGGGCTTTGTAGCTCCAGCATGGTATCAGCCTTGGGAGCATACTGTAGTGTGAAGCAATTCTATGAGGCATTGGCAGTGGGCACAAGACATCTCTCTGAGACAGGAAGAGAGACTGTTGTGACTAGATTGGTTGGGAGGTCATCTAGAGCAGTGAAGGAGGCTATGCCTCAATTGTAATGTCTCCCTTCTCTAAGGAGAATAAGGTTGATGGTTCTGCCAGGAAAAAAGATGGGTCAATTTCCTGCTCTTCCTTGGGAAGCACTTCAAAGAATGAAGTCTCTCCTGCTGTTTTTTAGACTGCCCTTCTCCAGCCATGAAGCTGAGGCACTGTCCTTAACACTGCATCTCCAGTTTGCATTAAAACACCATTTCAGCCCAATGCATGGTTTCATGCTGGCAGGCACAATTCAATCTGCTGCTGGTGGGAGGTTGCTGACCCCCTGCAAGACAGGATATCACAAGAGAGGGTCCTAGGGTAACCAAGCCTGCTCCCCCTTGAACATGGGTCTGAGAAGCTTTGCAAGGCTAGTGTAGCATCAGCCTTCACTCGTTCTACCTTGTCAAGGATGTCATCTATCCAGAGCCTGAGACAGCGACAGGGCTATAAACACCATATTCAATCTACCCACAACTATGCCAAAATGAGGAGGAAAATCAATGCAGGGATGTTCCCAGCTCAGCAACTGCCCTGCAAAAGCCCCAGAGGAGCTGCAGACAGGTTGGCACTGCTTGACAGAGGAAAGAGAAAGAAGAAACCTCTGAGGTCTTCCCCCATAGCTCTTCTGGTGTAGGCGATTGCTCAGAAATGAAAACCTCAGGGAAGGACCTGTGTCTCCTGGTCAGAAACTGACCATGATGGTGGAAAAATAAGCACTGAGTGTATCCCAACCCCACATCTTGACCTGCTGTACTCGAGCTTCTTGTTCCTGCTGCAATCACTTTCACACTTAGCAGTCAAAACAAGAAACTATCAAGGGTCCAATTTTCTAAATACTGGGAAATAAACCTACTAATTATTTCAAGAGGTAAATACCACTCCACCTGCACGCAGGTTTCACAGTGTAATTTCTGTGTCATTGGAGAACAGCACCACAAACATCCTCCCACAGTTGCTCCCTGTCCCTCACAGTTGGCAGGTTCAGGGCACACAAATTCTCTGCCTCACGCTGATGAAATGGTTGAATGATGACTGGGGGAAGGGGGCTGCAGCAATTTGCATCTCTCCAGAGGCAAGGAAGGCAATTACGGCACTTTCTCAGGTCTTGTCTAGCTTCTTGAGTAGCGTGGTGCCACAGGTTAGGGCACTTTGTATCTTGGTCAGGATCTCTGCCTGACAAGGCTTAGGGAACAAGGACCAGAGATTGGGTCCCCAGGCAATGCCTCCAACATTTCCCAGTTCTTTTCTGGATATAGGAATGAGAACTAGAGATCAGTAAATGCCCAGGATGTCAATCAGAACAAGGACTCCAGCAAGTTTCTCAAAGGAATACTTTGGTTCTTGTGCTATTGAACCAGGGGTTGGGTGACATGGGGAGTGATGGCTAGTGAAGGTTAGTCCTGCTTCAGTAGGACATGGCTTTGCTGGGTGTTTGGGACTCAGAGATGCTGACAGCCACAGCTTCAAGCCTTTCGACCTCTACAGGGCAGAGAGGGATCACTGCCTCTCTTCATGCAGCTTCAGACTTGCTGGGGAGGGAAAAGTCTGGTTTCCATAGCTCACAGGAATCATCCCTGAGACTACCTAAGAGGAAATGCTGGGATAGGGCTAATAAAGCACTAAATCTGGTGAGGACCATCATCTCCTACAAGCTGTCCTTGGAACAATCGGGTCTCATAACTCATCCCACCACCATCCAACTGGTAATACATGTCATTGTTGTACCACAGATCTACAACAAGCCACAGTGAGACTGTGGAGCTGCTGTACGACATCTCCCGCGCCCTCCTTCACACATACCTCAGGAACTTGTTCAGGTCACCATGCTTCATGTACTCAAAGACCATGATGAGCGGGTCTCCATCACCACACACGCCATAAAACTTGACGATGTGCTCGTGCTGCAGGTTGGTGAGCAGCTCTGCCTCCCTCTGGAAATCCTTGCGGGCTGCCAAGGTGGGGTCTTTCAGTGCCTGGAAAAGGAACATGGATATTCACAGGGTGAGCTCAGGTAGGGGTAAAACCAGAGCAAATGGGTGGCAGCATCACAGAGGAGCTGATGAGGAAGGATGGGGAGAGGAACCTCTGCCACCAGCCCAGTTGCACTGGGAAGGTTGGTGGTAGATGCTGGTGGCACTATTTCAGTGTTTTGTTCATGTAGTTACAGACCCATCAGGTTCCCCAGCTCATTTTCCCATGCAGGAGCAAACATGCCTCAGAGGGTAATAGCTTCCAATTATTCCCAGCTTGGGCAGGATTTGTACTGGTGACCTAGGGGTGAATGGCTTCATATCTCATTATTATTAAATTCCTGAGCCAGCCAGTCCTTGCTATCTGTCTTTTATTTTGAAAGAGCTGACTACACTGCCTTTATTCAGAAGATGGATTTGCCTGGCTGTGCAGTTATTGTGTGGATTTTTCAAACTGCCTCTGAAGAAGGACACCGTCAAGTCTTTTCTCATAATTTTTAAAATCACGTTTTTATTCCCTGCTGTTTATAACAGTTCCCCTGGTAGAGTGATGCTGAAATTGGTGCCCTTATTGAGCATATCTCATCTTCCACACCTAAGCATGCCACTTTGCCACTGCCAGGTATCTTGCAGGCTCGGGGCTGTGTGGACCAGCCCAATTTCGCTATGAAGGTGTTGCTGTGGAAGGGTTTCCCAGTGTTGTCTGGCTTGTTCATGGATTATTGGCCAGTTGCTAGTTTGAAAGCAGTGTGTTGTCATCCCAGTGTATCAAGGGAGGGCACTTAGTAAAAAACTTGAAGTCCAGAACATTTGACAAGATGAGATAGCCATGAGAATCAGCACAGTCTTTGAGAACATTAAAAGCAATGAAGAGGAAATCCTGGTTTTCAGTTTCTGGGTCTCAGTTGTATTTTCCTCATCCTCCACATGCCAGAACTATTTAGTACCAGCTCTGGCTTTATGCAGCCTAAGAGGCATCAAAAAGGATTCAAGGCAACTTGTTCCAGTTATCCCCAGATTCAATCTGTTGTGCACTGGTTCCGCATCAGTGGTGGGGGACACTGGGAAGCTTTCCCCTTACCTGTGCACAAACATACCTGCCCCCTTCTACCCATGCCAACACGAGAGGTGGCACCAGCAGGTGCAGGCTCCAATTTATGTGCAAAAAGGGATCTTAAGCATCAGAAAGCTGTGTATAGAGGACGAGGCACCACAGTGCTAATGCACCTCTGACTGGTCCATGGCACTGCTGGGAGCGATGCGTGCACAGTGAAGTAGTGAGTCCTCCAGAGTAAGTGGTTTTCCCCTTGGAGCAGATCTGATGTGAGGCTTTTACTCAAGCCTTAGGACATGGCCTCATCTCCTTCTTCTGCACCTAAACTTCTAGTCACACGGCATGATTTTATATTAATGTTATGTCCTCTGGGATAGCTTGACTAGAAATACTTAGGTGGATGTTAGTTACATGGTGCAGATGGCAAAGCATCCATTCTTATCTCTGGCACTTTTAGGCATTTAATATCTTCATAACGTTGATGTTACCCTAATTTTCCCCTGAGAAAACAGTTCCTTCCTCCATCACTCTTTTCTTCCCCTTTTTCCTGTAGTTGCACATAATACTTCAAGCTGCAGTGAGTTTAGTTTTCCTCTCCTTCACACACGATCATTTCCACAAGGTGTTAGGGCTGTAAGTTTGTAAATATCACTCACCAAAAAAAAAGAGATATTAAACCCCCCATATTACTAGGGTTGCACAGCCAAGCATTTAGAAATGGAAGAAACAGGAGCTGGAAGTGGTAGAACAGGGAAAGAAAACCTGGACCAAAGGAAGAGCAGGGATATCTCAGTAAAACCACTGGAATGCCTCTCCTAGGAAGGTTTGGGGTGGATTGTATTTGTGTCTTCATTGCACGATTCCTGAGTGACATCTGGCAAGTCACCTGGCATCTGCAGGTTGATGCCATTGTCACAAAGTGTCAGTTGTTCCAATATACCTGGGAAATATCCTCTCATGTTGCATCAAGGCCAGGTCTGAACAAGTGCAATGTGTTTAATGCTGAAGCAGGGCTCAGTGAAAGCCTGGTACTTGCTGTCCACAGGCTGGAAAGGCAGGTCAGTAACCCCATCCTCCACCTAAATGGATCTTTTGGCTTAGTTTCCCTGCTTCTCCATTTGTTCTCTGCAAAATGGGGATGGTACAACCCCAGTACCTCTCTGGGAGGATGTGAAAATGAGAGTGCTCACATCTACAGAGCTCTCAGATGCAGAAGTGATCACCACTGTGGAGCAGCCCATAGAGAAATGAAAAATATGTGTTCGGAGGACATGCCCTGAATACCAGTCCCTCCAGCATTTCTAGTACTTGACTTTATAACCTCAAAGCTCTTTGCTAAATATAGGCTTTACGCATTTCTTCGGATGTTTTTAGAAGCAAGCTGAATAAAACAGGAAGCTTGTCCATGCCATAACATCACAACTCAACTTATCTGCAGGGCTGTAACCTTTAGATCCACTGAAAACCTAAGTCCATTTAACTGAGTGAGTAACACAACCACTTTCTTTGGCTCTGGGAGGGAGCCCCTGAGAGCAGAGCAGGGGCCTTAACTCAGCTGCCTTAACCAGCGTGTCCAGCTGCTGCCCTGAGCTGCAGTGACTGTGGAGGTAGTTCTCAGCCTCTGTCAGGAGCATGAGACCTTCAGGAAATGCAGCCAAATCTCAACTTAATATGTAAAGCCTTTTTTTTCTTTCCTTTTTTTCCCCCTCTCTCCTTTTTCTTTCTTTCTTTCTTTTTTTTTTTTTCTTCCCCTAAGACTTATAGTGTGGCCTAAGGTAGAGGGATTTTTTCCCCTACTTGCCCCTCCAGACCTGGCAAGAATCAAGACTTGAAGACCCTGCTCCGAAGCGGGATCTGTATGATCTTGCAGGATGAAAGGCACTCTGGAGATGTAAGCTCATAGTAGCAATTAACAGAAACAGGTTCAGACGCTGTTCCTGCCTACATGCAAATGAAATTCAGAAGACACTTGAGAGGTAGGATTGCATAAGGGATGGCTGACACTGAAAGGCAGGTACCAGATATATCCTCAAGCAATTAATCATAGGGGTAACTGTGCTAGCTCATCTTTAGCCAGACTCAGAGGTGAAAGGTGCAATATTGCAGTTCACAGCCAGAACATATGGGGACAAATGAGCTAAAAAACCCAAATGCTTGAACTGCCAATGATTAAAACAAGTCTCAAGTAACTGGATGCCTCCAGCATCCTGGAGAGAGTGCTGAAACCTTTCTCCCCGTAGAGCATCAGTTTAAACACAGATCTTCTTCCAAGGAGTTAGGAGACATCAATTAACTCCTGAGGATTAGACTATGTGCATCTGCCAACTGGTGCCACTTGAAAGGACAGCACATTTCTGCACCGAGTGGTGCCCTCTGCTCAGAGCCGCATGATCAGGCACAGCTCATGCAAGGACCTTCAAAAGGAGGCAAACAGCACCAGACAAGGCAAGCTGAACTTGTGTTGGCTCAAAATCACGGAAACAGGAGGGATCTGTGGCTAGGCAAGCAGGAGCCGAGTGAAGCTGAGCAGAGTTGCTTTGCCCACGTTGCAGCAAATTGATCCCAGCAAATTGGTTAGTTGTGCTTAGCTGTTAAGTGCTCGTTTTTGCTGAGGCCCTTTTTTTGTTTCAGTTTCTGCACGTTCCACAAAGAGATAAAATCCAGAAAGAGAAGGGCCCCAGTTCCTTGCGGAGGGGATGTGGACTCCACAGTGCTGCTGCAGCTGCATGGGAGCTTACAGCTTCCAGACCAGCCTCTCCTCCCTGCCTGTCTCCTTGCCGCATCCGCAGGAAGCAGCAGGAAGAGAGGCTTTGGCATTGGTGAGAACACACAACCTTGAAACGAAACACTGAAGCTGTGTGTGACTAAGTGGATTTACCACAACCTCCGGCATCAGATAAATCTCCACCCCTGGCCCCCAGCCCTCCCCTTCTTCCCTTTCCCACGCAGGCTCATCCAGCCTTGCTCCACTGGCCAGCCCCTGTCTTACTCTCTGCCATTCACCCTTGGGATTTACCTTCACTGCCACCAGCATTTTGTCGTTGGTGGGGCTGAGGTTGTAACACTCGGCCAAGAACACCTTCCCAAAGGCACCTTCTCCCAGCTCCCTCTTCAAAACGATGTCTCTCCTCTTAATATGCTGGACATCTGTTGGAGGGAGGGGGGGAAGAGGGTTGGGGGAAGAATGAATCAGGATTAATTCAGGGAGTGGAAAACAACTAATTCAATTTTCTAGCAAGTCGCAAAGGAACTGAAATTGCTTTGCAAGAGTATCTAGAGGGATCTTCTTACCCACCCACAGAACACAGCCATCTCTAGGATGGAGCTCGTGTCATATGAAACATCTGCGAGGAAAGTACTTGAGGATTCCTTCTACAAGCTCACAACAAGCTTGTCCTCAGAGAGAGGAACCCTTGGGGCAAAATCTGCTACAAAGACCTGAATCTCTTTGGAATAAACCTGGAAATAATTCATCTCCTGTGAGGCATAGCAATGGTCACATACTTCTGATGCCAGGCCAGGTGAGATTTGAAGGTCCTGTTGAATTTTGCATTTCAATTGCAATCAGTTTAACCCCAAACTCGGGCAGGTTTTTGAGTCTGAACTTTAGTAAATCAAAGCATTCCCAAGGGGAGGACAACCACTGACCCACATGCACCTTAAGGCACGAGCAGGATCCAGTTGGAAGTGCTGCATGCTGCCCCACAGCAAGACCTTGACCCTGCAGCCATCTCCTGTGTGACTGTTCCCTCAGAAACAAGGTCATCCCAGGATAAAGCCACTGGCACAACAGATAGAGTGAACCCATTAGTTTCAATGATCCTTTCCACTGACATTTAGGACAGTGAGAACTGACGGAGAACAGCAACCAACGTTTCAGGAAGAATCAAAAGAGCTATTAATTTAACAAAGGTACAGAGGCCTATGAAGATTGGTCTGCTCAGGTAAGAGGGTCATTCATAAGGGCTAGATCTACCCAGCTACTAGGCACCTACAAGGGTACATAATCAGCTAGCAGGATATCCATAAATGCTGCATCATGAATAAATGCCACTGGTTGCTGAGAGAGTCTGGAGGTCTCCATACTCTCTTTTATGGGTACAATACCAAGGCACAGCTACTTGCTGCCAAAACTCCACACACCTTCCTGGCACCAGAGCACTCATACCAATCCTCTGGCAATACAAAGAGGCTTTTTTTAATGCCCGGAGTGAACTGTGGAAATAGACATATGTACAGCCACCACAGTGATTTCTGGAGGCACAGTACCCAAAACTTCATCTCTCTAAACTGTTCTTCACTGGAGCTTACTGCCTCCCTTGAGAACTGTGGTAGCAATGACCACCACCAGCTCCAGCCTGATGGTCATGGCAGCACAGGGAGAGATACTCACTCTTCTCCAGTGCTTGGCGAGCAAAAGCTCTCCTCAAGCAGAGGCATTAGATGGAACAGTGCCCTTTTTCCACTCCTACCCTGGGGCGTTCATAAACTGGCCCTGCATCTGTTTGCTCACAAACTGGACTGCTTCTGAGTCTTTTCCACCAACACTTCCATGTGCACAGGAGCTGTACAGGTATGTACCCCTTCACTCAGACGCATTTCCCTTAGGATACTGCAGATGTAGGAGGTGGAGGTGATAAACACCATGTTTCAAACTGGCTGCAGGGAAGCATCACTACCAGTGATCACAATCTGCCACCAGCTCCCACCAACCAGGCGCCTGCATAGGCACCCGTATTGACCCAAGGGATCATATGCCCCACAACAACACAGGTACCACTTAATGCATCAAAAAGCTAATGGATTGGAAGATTAACATCCTAAAGGCTTTCATACAATTAAGCTTTTTAATTAGGAGCTCACAGACAGGTTTACAGAGCTGCCATCTCTGGCCCTTTTGCTTGCTTGGGAAGATGGATGCTGTGAGATTGGACAAGCAATGGGCCTTGTAGTGAATGATGCTTCCATAGGGACTTCCTGTTGACCTTTTCATTAATTGTTCAATAGACTGAAAACTGTTACCAATATTAATAATATTCATAACATTAAGGCACAGGATGATAGGCACATCCAAAATGACTTTGGTTTTAAATCTGCAGTGACAGCCAGGGAGAACAAACTGCATGTGGGCTTTGACTTCTCCACCTGGTTTAGTTGAGTGTTTAAGGAGTACCTTGAGAAATCTGAAATACTATGTGTTGAAATGTTAAGTGATGCACTTGGGTGAGGAAAGTCCTAATCTAAGAAAAGCTCAAATGGCACCAATTAACTTCACAGAGTAGAGGAAAAGGGGTTTTTTCCTCTTTCTGTTGCCAAGCATTTCTATAGCACTCATCACTATGGTACCTAGGATTTACTGTACTGACAAACCATGTATTTGCATTCTTGGTCTCCTGAATAGCAGAAGTCAAGAAAGCTGCAGGGAAACAATCTTGTAGTAAAAGGAGCCCAAGGACACTTTAACAAACTCTGAATCCCAACAGAAATCCAGCAATTGCAATCCGATTGCCCCCTTTCGTGTGAGATAAAGTTAAAAAGGAAACTGTCTCAGAATAACCAGCAACACTATTTAAGACTATTTACTATTTGAGTAAGTGTAACACCATGAGAACTGAAGCAAACCTCTCTTTCTGAACTCCCCAGGGTGTTCCCCCAAATTTTCAGCTCCAAATTCTTCCTCCCAACAATATCTTAACAGATGTTTCTGGGAGCTAGAATCCAGACTGTGTAATTATGTCTCCATTATCAAAATAATACCCCATCTGTCTTCAAGACCAGATTTCACAGCAAGTTGTTGGGGTCACCTGAGAAGATTCAGGGAAAACTTATATGAAGAATTAAAGGAGAAATTGTGGCAGACAGAGTTAAGCTGGGGGAGGAACGATCCTTTTGGGGTAGCAGTCTCATGTAGCACTGATGGGTTTAATGTAAAGTTGGATGGTTATTAAAAAAAAAGGTTCATGAAGTTAAGCAGTTTGACAGCAATTGGGCAATCTTTATGTAGAGTCAGAAAAGTGCTTTGGCCAATTCCAATTCTTCTCAACCTCAAATAGCCATAAGTATTGCTTCATAGTATTTTAGGCACAAATGGAATAATAACCAAGTTACAATAAACTGCTTTTTCTCAGGCGACAGGCCTAAGATACTGAAGTTTACATCAAATTCTTCCATTTACAGTGAGATCAGCACTATGATTAATTCTACGTTACTATTAAATATGGACTTCAAACATAAAGCAATGACAAACTGCCCTGGCACTGTGCGAGCGGCTGTGTTATTGTGCTAACCTTGCATCTCTGCTCATCTGTCCTGCCTGTAACTCACAAGGAAGGCCGAGTAGCCATGAAAGATGCTGTGCTGCAAGGGCACCTGGGAGGTTCATCTGCATAAATCTGTTTACCTCCTCCTGGAGGAAGCTGAGCCCTGTCTGATAAACAGCTGGTGTTTATTTGTTTTAGGCAGGCAGTGGTGTGCTAATGTGTCTCGGCTGCGTTGCAGTCAGCCCTGCTGACAAGGTGTATGCAAACTGGCTTCCCATAAGTACCACTCTTTTTTTGTTCCTTCTCCCTTGTACCATTAACTTATAAAAACAAGCCAACAAGACAACTCAAAAGAACAACCTGGGCAGGAGCCACAGCGAGACCTGACAGGAAAATAACCAGACTTGACAGCAGGGTGGGAACTCATTCAAGGCCATGCTGTATCTACCAGAAGGATGTGAGCACACTACACTGATGTAATTCCAGTTTTAAATGAAACATCTTGCAGTCCTTGTTTTGAGATTGCTATGTTGCTGCATGACACAGAAGATACTTGTGCAGATCCTCCACCTTCCTTCTTGTACATCAAGTCTTAACACATGAGAATGTATTTCAAGATCTTGTCTTTGCTGATGCTCTGAATAACACATGAACCACATCAGAAAATATCCGACCTGCAGTTGGCTGGATATGCCCCACCACTTCAGTTCAATGATAGTAAGCTAGAGCATTAACAAGAAGTAACTCAGGGACACTGAACTCACCTTTACAAATTGCCTCCAGAACAGGAAGCTTTCCTTTTCTCTGGATGAGGCACAGGAGAAGTGTTGCAGCTTTGGATCAGCAATGGGATCTTACCTAACCTCCTCTGAACCTTTTGTAGGACAGCTGACTTGAGTCGTGCCTAAAGCGCACTTAGTCAGAAAAGAGGTTCTCTAAAAACAGCAACTTCTTCCTCCCTGTATTCACTCCCATGTGTCCCTTAGTCATGTCTGCTCCTCTTCTTGACACAAACATATTCTAGTTTGCTAACCTTGTGAACCCAGCACAGCCATGGGATACAGGGGAAGAAGAAGAGGGAACAAAATTAATTCTGCTTTTCTTATACATCAATCTACCATGTCCTGATGGATCACTTCTGCACTGACCCCTGGGACAGAGCCTAGAAAAGCCAGAACTTTTTTCTTAAATCACTGATTCAATGACTCTTCACCCATCTTTTACACTCATATTGCAGAATCTCTCTTGCTTTTGGCAAGGTCAAGGCAAAAAGACCCTGACTCAACCTGCAAATCCAAGTTAGAGCATATAGAGCTGGTAACAGACTGTGTGCAGTGAAAACACCCTTTTTCTAATAACCACCACATTTCAATCACATGAGCAGAAATTGGGAGATTGCACGGGTACATTTCATGAATCTAATTTTCCAATTATTGTCTTATTTCCGAATCAATCCTGGAATCAGAAGAAGAAGAGATGGGTTCAGTGACACTGCAAATTCTGCATTTCAGATTCCCATCACAGCCAGCATCCTTAAAACCGTGGTTTGATAATGCTCTTGAAACCTGGATGCACATGACTGTGTTTGGACACAAAGGACTACAGTGGGAGGTAAATGGACAAATTAAACTCCGAACAGAGTAGACCATGAGCAATGCCAGTACTTAAGTTACAGCAAAATGCAAACCTACTTAAGCTGAATAATTTATATTAGGTCTGAAATTAATTCCTCACACCTCCTTCTATCAAACTCCTGAACAGCAGCTTGTCTGGTTGCTGTATTTCTAGTGGGTTTCCTGTCTTTGGCATGGTAATTCACAGACAACATGTAGCTCACTGGGGAAACAGAGCAAAATAATAGAATTTTCTCCTTTCACTTTTGCCACC